TCCTGCATGATGCAGTGCCTCTTTCTCCACCCACATCATTATACAAGGTCATGTACTGCATAGTTTTTGCTGGTCTGCATTCTGTTTTGAACTTTAGTACCTCCTTTATATGGTTTCCATGACTCCCTGGTCGTGAATTTTACATTTACATTACATTTAGACTTTATTTGAAGGATTCTCCAAAGGTAAATGGATACTTACGGGGGAGTTTCCTGGAAGGGTGGATGAGACGAAAGGGAAGTGAAAAGAAAGAAGGGAAAATAGTACTTAGCAGAAACACTGCTCAGGGAAAACTACAGGTAAAACCACCAGGGAGAAACAGAATAACAATCATAATATCTGTCTCTCAAGTACATGTACGAATAGTACATAACCTCTTGACTCTTGACGATACCATCGCATGTACCGGTACCGGTACATCAGTGAAATGGAAATTTTGGTACTTGTGTAATGGTAGCCGAGTGGTAGGCGCGGTGAAATCAACAAGAATTCGTTTTATTCTACTTCTCTCAGGTACACACCTGAGATATAATTATTAGTGAAAGAAGAAGCGGCAAAATAAATAAGATTCAAGATCGGTGCTCACCTAGAGGTTGACTACCTCTTCTTCGAGTTAGCTTTCGTTGCTATCTAATCTAATCTTCATCAAAACAGAAATGCGCAGCCGCTTTTATGCAGCAGACGCCGTACGCTTACATACGGAGATACACTAAATATACATCAGGCAAAGCTCCGTATTAGTTCCGTACTACTTCCGTATTGGTCGGGCAGGGATACTACACCCTCCCTTCCTACAGATAATCACGCCCTCGTGATTTTCAAAAAATTAGTGAAGAGTTATGAACACAGCGTCAACCGGAAGATGGCAAATTATATCGGAAATGATAACGTTTAGAGTAGACAGAAGAAATGAACTGATAGCAAATCATAACATAGAAGTTAAAGCACACCAGGTTCACACGATCTCTCGGGGTCAAAAGGGAAAGAATGGTCCTCCAAACCGGACGTGAAAGACAGCCAAATTTCTGCACATCGCGGGCTCAAACTGCCAGGAAATTCACAATTTCAAAAAATGCACTGCATCGTGGGAACTTACTCCGGTCCACATCTGGAGTGTAAAAGGGATTCTCACACACTTCTCTCACCAGGTTACTGAGGTAAGCCGTGGCTCATCATGATCGGACGCCTACCAAACTAAACTGGATTCACACACTCGCATAAAGGAAGACTGAAGAGAACAGGGAGACTGAAGGAAGACAGGAAAGAAAATGCCATACCTAGAATCAGCGTTAGTAACCACGGCGGCGGCTGGAGCTACGGCGGAGGGCAAGCCAGGTTTTATCTTCATCTTGGTTGAGCCGGTCACCCAGAGCGGCTAGTTCGGCGTCAGACAAATGACCTCCCTCCTTGTCTTGAATCGTGGTCTTCACATTGTCGATAGCATCGCTTTGCGCGACGTAAAGAGTGATGGTCTAGCCAGGAAGAGTGTTGACGAAAATCTGCTTCCCACCACGGAGGCGAAGTACCAAGTGAAGAGTGGGCTCCTGCTTCCGAATGCGTGCCGGCGAAAATCAAACGCTGCTGGTCTTGGGGAATACCCTCCTTGTCTTGGGCAGTAGCCTGCCTTTTGTCGTCCTCATCAGCTTCGCCATCACCACCGGTAGTATAGGTAGCGGGTCGCTTGGAATCGCCATCGGAGTCTCCAGTGAGTGCCGTGCGGAAAGAAGGGTGATCCACGCTAGCACCCTGACTGTGGTGCAGGCTAATAAGCAGAGCCAAGCCCAGGAAGGCAAGAAACATGATTCTTATCTTAATTCGTCGCACGGAGCTGCAGCGGGTTGAGCCATGGGGGTCTGGGGTCGAATCACGTTGTTTTATTTAAAACTACACCGCTGCCACCAATGTAACAGGTAGCCGAGTGGTAGGCGCGGTGAAATCAACAAGAATTCGTTTTATTCTACTTCTCTCAGGTACACACCTGAGATAATTATAATTATTAGTGAAAGAAGAAGCGGCAAAATAAATAAGATTCAAGATCGGTGCTCACCTAGAGGTTGACCACCTCTTCTTCGAGTTAGCTTTCGTTGCTATCTAATCTAATCTTCATCAAAACAGAAATGCGCAGCCGCTTTTATGCAGCAGACGCCGTACGCTTACATACGGAGATACACTAAATATACATCAGGCAAAGCTCCGTATTAGTTCCGTACTACTTCCGTATTGGTCGGGCAGGGATACTACACTTGCATTGTATTTCATTATTTTACTTGGGCATTCCCAACAGACCCTAAGGTCTTCTTACAGGGTGTCCAAGATGAATGAATGTGGTAAGCTCTTGGCGAAATGAATTGGATCGATGATGTGCACTGGGCCAAATTGCACTGTCTTGGTCTTTTGTGCAGAAGTATGAGATGGATAATAAATCATCATTCTGGAAATCAGAACATCAGTACAATGCACTGAAGCAGTCACTATTCCAACAACCGAGAGTCCATTGGCCCAAAAAGTGAGTGAGAGAGAGAGAGAGGGGCCAGAGGGGGAGGGAGGGAGGATGGAGGAGGGAGGGAAGGGGAGGCAGCACACTCAACACAAGAACAGGGAAGAACAAGATGCAGACAAAACACGAACTCTTGCTACTGTCATGCTGACAGTGCACACGAGCATGTAGTCTACAATACATGTACACGAATATCTCTAATCATTTAGGTATTAGGTAGTGAGTACTAGAACACTGTTTTAAACAGTGACGCTACCGTAGTCTCCGTATACTACTGTAGTGCAATCAATACCGTCGGTTCAGGCCTTGCTATTGCCTCCTTGCTCCACCCTTTATCTTAAAATTAACCTCATTATCACATTCGCTTCCACGTACTAGAGTAATGGGGCTTGTAGCCCGTGTGTACTTGCGAATTCAAATACAAATATACATACATACCCTCAGAAAAAAGCTGACGGAAATCTTCAAGCGCGTCGACCTAAAAATTACCATCGAAGCGAACACACAGGGAAACTTCAACCCTTCCGAAAGCCAAATGACAACCCACTCTACGTCAGCAAGAAGTCCAACCACCCGCCTGGGATCACCAACAACATCCCTGCTGCTGTCAACAAGCGCCTTTCCGCTATATCGAGCGACGCGGAGGCATTCAACCATGCAGCCCCCGTGTACCAGACCGCATTAAAGGCCAGTGGATACACCGAAGTGCTGAGCTTTCAGCCCGAGGCATATGAGCACAGGGGCAGGAAGAACCGCAGCCGGAAGGTCATATGGTTCAACCCTCCCTACTCCAAAAACGTTAGCACAAACGTCGCTGGTAGGTTCCTGAGCCTTGTCTGCAGGCACTTCCCGAAAACATCCAAGCTCGGGAAGATTTTCAACCGTAACACTCTGAAAGTGAGCTACAGTTCCATGCCCAACATGGGAGCGGTCATCAGCAGCCACAACAAGAGCAACCTGCGAGAGCCAGAACAAACCAAGGCATGCAACTGTAGAATCAAGGAATCCTGCCCGCTGCGCGGAGAGTGCCAGACGAAGGAGATTGTGTATGAGGCCACTGCAGAATCTACCAGCAAGATTTACATCGGCCTATCAGAGACACCTTTCAAAGCCCGTCACGCCAACCACCTGACCTCCATGCGTCATGAAAAATACAAAAAACAGCACGGAGCTCGCAAAACACGTATGGGAGCTGAAGAGCGAGGGAAAGCCGTTGACCATTACATGGAAGGTGCGGGAGAAGAGCCGATCATACAGATGTGAGTAAAAAAAATGCAATCTTTGTACCGCGGAAAAATTCCACATCCTGACTACACCCAAGAAGCTCCTACTCAACAAGCGGTCTGAGATGGTCTCGAAATGCAGGCATGAGAATAAGTTCCGCCTCGCAAATTTCACACCTATCAAATGAACTGACCAGGTACTGTACTGCACTTTGCCTGAGCACCCATTATTATTAATAACACAATCCCTTGGCCTGTTGTTGGCGATGCCACTCTGCTCACGCCTGCCCGTCACCAAACGACTCCCTACTTGTAGCGATCTCACTGGCCCATTGCCCGCTACCCTTCTGGCACCTCCACCCATCTGCTGTACACTGCCTCCCCTTCGCCTCTTTCCGTGCTTTCATGCTCACACCTGCCTATTGCCCGCCACCATCCTGGCACTTCCCCTGTCGCGCCTTGGCCCGCGCCAGCTTTCTCCCCATACCTCACACCAGATGTAGCGCTAAATTTGTTTATGCTTGTTGCCCTATGTGTTTATAAGCATACTGTTGGGTAGACCAGAGTATCAGTTGTCTGATGATTGCCTAGCGGCATGAAACTCAGAGTTACAACCAACCTGAACCTGAACGTCCTCCGCTGAGTCTGCTATGTACATACATACATGTGTACATACTTGTATTGCAACACGGACATACATCACAGGCAACAAGAAGGGTAGCACTGTTGGTGGAGGCCCCAAGCGGTAAGACTGACAGACAGACCAGTGACGAACGAGCACGAGATTCAGGTTGTCAGCACGGACACACAGCACATCAGAAAGACAGGTAGCATTGTTCGAGGCATTGGAGGTGCCAAGACTCCCAACAAGAAAGAGGCACGAAGGACAGACAGACCAGTGACGAACGAGCACGAGATTCAGGTTGTCAGTCCGAATCACGCGTCTGTCATGCCAAAATTAGCGCGAACCTAGGAAAAGAAGACGAGAATGTCCAAGGGCGCAAAGTACTGTCGTAAACTAGGTATGATACCAAGTAACTACACGCACATGTAGTTACGAACGTTTGATGATAATAATATTATTATCATGATTGTGCCCGAATGTTGGTACATGTACCGTGTAGATCTACATGATGTAAAATGTACAATGTGCTGCTGTAAGGGCCTCGCCAGACTGACAAGTGGCGACGAAGGTGACAACCTACGCTGCCAGCATGAAAGCACTGGCATTATTATTAGTAATGCAGTCTTCTTGATTCCCGCAGGCTGCAGTGGGCTTGGATTGCGGTACCGCCTAAACTAGTAAAGATGAAAACAAGCTTGACATGTTCTTCTGCCTTGCAAACTAACTACTTGCAGCTACCCAAGGTGCCAGTAGCTTCTCTTGCATGTCCGCCAAGCAAGTGGTTCTTTGTCCGTGTGGCGGGGAAAGTGTGCTACTACTGCTAGTGCCCGACGCTGTTCCTTCGAGTCCTGAGAGAGGCATCCGCGATGGCCTTCGCTGCTACAGCTCGGCAACCGACAATGTCCGCTACCCTGTTGCTGTTGCTGGTGGTGTTTACTCTGTTGGTTTTCATTCCGAGTACTCCCGCCGCTACTATCCCAGCAGTGACACCAAGAAACGGTAAGAAGTCATTCATTCATGTCAATAATTGTTAATGCTTTATAACGGAGGTTAAGCCTAGTTCACATTCGACGGAACGCTGACGGTACGGGACGTAAGGGCTTGTCGGGAAGGCTGGGGTGAGGAGCTGTAAAATCTGGTACGATTCGTACGACACGACATGCTGCAGTCGTTGCGTCGTTCAACAGCGAATGACGCCAGTCATAAGGCACGGTCCGTGACAGGTTGACTTTTGGACCTATTTTCTTATTTTTCGGGACTTCTTTTCAATTATTTCTCCTTGAATGAAGCGGAATCAAGTTCACAATACCAGTTGTTCATGAACACCAAAAAAGTAGCTTCGAAAGGTGTGCCATTCAAATAATAGCTCCAGGAAATGATAAAACAGTTCGTCTGTCACGCTCTTGAACTATCCCTAAATACCATAAGTGACTTCAGACCTCATCTTGCAAAAATTCAACTCAAGTCGTGTTAGGCATTCTGCGAGTTATCATGGGAAGCGCAGTGTTCGAAATGCTACAAATTTCCAATTACGAATCGGGAGTAGTCGGCGCACAACGCCGTCTCCTGTTCACACTCGAAATGCAGCTGTTTTGTACGCTTGCGTCCCCGTCTACGCCCGTCTACAGTATGAAAAGTTGAACTGATCCAACTCTTCCCGTCGCTTCCCGATCCGTATGGCAGTACGGTTGCGTTCCCGTTCCTGGTGTTCACATTGGACGCCTTCCGACTGTCCCGTCGCTTCCCGTCGATCCTTACGTCGCGTCCCGTCGCGCCCCGTCGAATGTGACCTAGGCTTTACCTGGTCAATCTACGGCAAAAAGGAATACTAGAAGTTCGCCTGATTGTAATATTTGCACTATTATCGGTTGCGTAAATTGGCCAGCTTTCCGTGAGCCTTTGATATGCCAACATACGTCGCTCCGTTGTCAAGGGAGCAGGCAGCATAGTGAACTTCACCACTTTACAGACTACACTGCGCTCTTGACCAGACTGACTAGCAATCAATGTCATTGTGTTAGCGAAGACAACTCGCACCAGATCAATGAAGCCTTACTCGCGGGTAGTATCCTTTTCCATTGGAAATCTATTGCCCAGGGCCTAAAAATTAATGGAGAATTTTTTATTCTTTTTAAAAATTGCAGTTCAGAGACAGTATATGTGTGTGTTTGAGCGATCTTTAAAATTGAAATTAATGTATTGGTTGCAGGGGAGTCTGCGCATTCTGAAAAGGATTTACTTCAAATAATAACCAGTATTGCAGAGTAGAATTCTTTGCCAGCGCACATAGTGCTCACTGTCAGCGAGGTGGGGACGGATAGAGAAAGGGGTGAAGGGTGGAAAGAGAAGTAGATAGGAAGGGAGAGCTTACTTACAGTCAGGAAGAAGGCAGAACTCAGTTTTGATTTTGATACTGATTTCAGACTTTCTTTCTACCGTATCGGGACTGTCACACATTGTGCGGACATGGCAAAATCATCTAACACTGCTGTATATCAACAGCCATGATCAGAAACAAGTGGCTGGAATAAATTTCCAAACACTTGTAGTCCTTGCACTACACATACCAGACTATTTCCCCATTTGCTGAGCTAGAATGGAGAGAAAGGACCAATGGATACTTGCATGAGTAACGAGTAACACTCCATCAACTGAACCAGGGTATGGGCAGTGAGATCAAATCTAGGCGCAAATCTGACAAGGATAACTGAGGCATTCGACAGCCTGATGCAGTAGTTAGAACACTTCTCCACACGTGCAAAGCCTTGCTGTCCGGATTCATGCTATGCAGTCTTCAGTAGCCCTTGCTCGATTATGCGGGCATAATTTCTGGCATAATCTTCGGATTTTGTCTAAATATTATTCCCTGGCATAACAGAACTTCTGAGACCAGACGGTCGGCATAACCCTTTAAAAGATGCTGGCTGAAGATTAATGCTCCAGGCATTTTAGGCATGTTACAGGATATAACCTGGTGAATATTACCCCTTATAAGCCGTGCTGTCATTTTGTCAGAATCGTTGTAACGTTGCAAAGTGCAACCTTGAAGAGTGCAGAGTGCAGTATAGCTCCATCATTGGTATAATTCCAGCATAATGTAGCATAATATTTATCACTGGCATAATTTGGGCATCATGGAAAGCATAATTCAGCAATTTACCGAACATAATCCGCCAAGGGCTAGTCATGACAATAGCAGGGATGCATAGTTTGACGAATCCCTCTCGTCAACCTTTACTCTGTTATTCTAGAGAACCTATGTATATGTACATGGACATGAGAAAATGGCGGCTGAACGCCGATATCTAGTCCCATGATAAGCGACTCTGCCCTGCTCTTTCTCTTTGTGCTGGTTGCTATAGAGACATGCATGACAAAATGGCTGAACGCAGCTGGTATCAGTAGCAGCACGGAGAGAGTGGAGAAATTACTGAAGAGATTTTCTGTGGATGAGAAGAACGGCGTTCCAGAATCTGACAAGGACACTCTCAGGTGGATTCTGTCTGATCACCAACAAGAATTTACTTTTCTCATTAGATGTCTCGGTAAGATCGTGAGTAATGACATCGACATTGACCAATACATCAGACTCAGTGTTGATTCATCAAACCAGCACAGTAACTGGGCAGAAGAATACCCAGCCTACACTTTAGATAATGATGATCTAACCTTGGTTTACGAAGGGTCTAACAAGTAGAAACAACAAAGATTTAGGAACACACGCATGCTTCTTCATGTTAAACTGCTGGAAAAGTGACTTCTACTAAACGCATCATTTCTGTGAAGAATAAGAATGATGGGGATGGAATCTTCAAGGAAGGAACATCATACGCCTAATGCCGTATAAGGCGATTAGCCCATTTTTCGGTGTTGGCCGTGATGATGTCACATGTATTGTTATTTTCAATAATATCTTCAGGATTTAGCTTTCCAGCAGTAGATTGGCAGATTTTAGAGACGCCCTGCAAGGCAGTTTACTTGAAGCATGCATTTGCACATAATTATGAAGAATATACAATGATGCCATTCGCACAAGAGTCTCTATACATGTACTGTAAGTGCAATGTCAGGGAAAACTCATTTCCTGAGACACACGTTGAATTTTTATACACATCTGTGGCCCTTTTTCCAACTTCTTCCATTAATATTTTTGAAGATAACCGCAGTGATGCCGATTGCAAGCAAGCGTCGCCGTGCCAACATTCAGGACAATGCCTACTTATTCCAGAGGAAGACCTGACAGCAGCGTCCAAGGAGTACACTTGTGTTTGTAAAGGTGGTTTTAGTGGACAGTTTTGTGAGCAAGGTGAGCGGTTAGTGAGTTGCTGGTTATTCAAATGCAAGATCTTAACGTGAAGCAACTTGGAAGAATGAGTATGTATGCGAAGTGTATCGGGGGAAAGCATGCAGGGCGATAGTGCGGGTTCAAATCCTGGCTTCATATTCTGGTTTCATATTCGAACATACTGTCATGGCTTTAAAGATGGCGAAATACGGTATGTAATAGGCTACTAGTAGCTATTGTCTGGAAATTGGCTCCGTTCTGATTTAATGTCAAGCTTCATCCCATCCATCCCATCCATCCCATATTATACATTCTATTTTAATTTTCTTATATCGTTATCTCACAAAAATGTATTATCTACGCATGCATCTACGCAAGAGTCACCACCAGCCAATTAGGACATGTGTAAAAGTATTGTACGTTTTCGTTCCCTTCTTGTCAAAATACTACAGGGAATGATGGAAATAAGCTAAAAGACTACAACTATAAGGAAAAGAATTTCAGAAATATATCACTCCAATTATGTGTAGAAGTGACACGAAAAAATAGATGTGAAGAATCAAGAAAACAGCATGCAAATCCAATAAGTGACAAAAACGTAGTGACAAGAAAGAGAGAGAAATATCAAGAGATATATTTCTTCACTAGTTTTAGGGAAAGAGCCAAACGGGAAAAGTCTGAAGAAAAAATTGACTGTCACCACCAGGACTCGAACCAGGGACCCTCGCTTGTAGCTAGCGATGCTCTAACCACTGAGCTATGGTGTAGTCGTCATCCCAGCAGAGACTGTTCAACATTTTCTTCAGACTTCGTAACTCACACTTCCTGTGAATCCACACAGGCGGGTGGGACGCAGCCCTCACTGTACCCACACACTTCACGTACACTCTAGCACGCGGGGAGGCCCAAGTCATAACATCTTCACTAGTTTTAGGGAAAGAGACAAACGGGAAAAGTCTGAAGGAAAAATTGACTGTCACCACCAGGACTCGAACCAGGGACCCTCGCTTGTAGCTAGCGATGCTCTAACCACTGAGCTATGGTGTAGTCGTCATCAGATATATTTCTGAGTGATATATATCTGAACTTCTTTTCCTTATAGTTGTAGTCTTTTAGCTTATTTCCATCATTCCCTGTAGTATTTTGACAAGAAGGGAACGAAAACGTTCAATACTTTGATACATGTCCTAATTGGCTGGTGGTGACTCTTGCGTAGATGCATGAGTAGATACCGGCCGGGTTCTTGCAGGCCCGGTGACCTCTCACTTATCCATCATCTCGACGACACCCTTCCTTTGGCCCGTCAACACGGCGCTAGTCTGAGATAATACATTTTTTGTAATATTTTCTGGCTCCGTCCTACTTTCGAATATCAATATCTTTTAGTATTTCATTGAGATTGCCAATAATGTACTCAAGTAGACATATGGGCGATTGTCAACCATGGCACGTACATGTTAATTCAAATCATCCTGGTTATCCAATTATAGATGAACCTATTGCTAAAAGGTTTTAAAGTCCACAATGCCTAAGGATTTGCCCAGGATCGTTAGACGGGAAATACAAGGGCTTTTTGTGTTTGAGCATTGGGGCAGATTTCCAGACGGTGCCCTATTCACGCTCTTGTTTCCATTTTTGAATGCAAATACATTTTCTAGGTGCGATTACAGTGTTGAGTCAACGTGTGGAGATGCTGGAGCATAACCTGTCAGCACTTGAGCGGGTGAGGTGAACAGCTGACCTACTGTGCATAATTCGAAGTATGAAAGCAGGGTTTCTGCACCCCACGCCATTTACACCAAGACAAGTTGCTATGGAAACCTCAGCAAATCTAACACCTTTCATACACAATTTTCTGTGTTGCCTTGCTGTTTTTCTGTGGTCCTTGTTATAAATGAGCTAACGCCATTATTGAACCAAAAATGAGTCAAAGTGACATCCAAGCGGACCGCTTCTCTTACCTGTATGCAGACAGCTCAGCACTCCACACAGTCTGAACCTACCCTGGCTGTTACCACAACTCTGTATAAATCAGATCAGAACCGAAAGTGATGCTAGGTCTCTCAGGCAATGTACTCATAAAGCACTTTTATTAAAGCAATAAATAGAAGTAACTCTGCCGGCATCACCATGCATCAACGAAGTCAAATGTTTTCCAGGCTCGATTTTCATGTCACTATCATTAGTGGAATATATCGTGACTGAAGTGAAGGCAAGCCAAGCAAAAATACAATGATTAGGTATGCGTTAACAATGTGATCAAACATAAAACTCGAGGAGGAGGATGGAGCAGAGGAAGAGTAACTGTTGAAGATTGACACGGGTTATTGGATAGTAGGATGACATGGATGGTGGTGCTGCTGATGATGGTGATGTTGAGTTGGATAGAGATGGTGATCGTCAGACGTCTGCTGTGTTTTGGCATTTGTTATCTCACCCTAAGTGTCTGCGTGTGATTTTCTTCCCATCTTTTCCTCTGTTGGCTGGCCTGCAGAAATCAAGAATCAAGACCAAGAAGTTAAGAAATGTTACAACGCTACTCCAGGTAATGGTTTGAAAATGTTCCATTAGCTCTACGTGCTTTGGTGGCATGGATGCGGCCAGCGACGCTTCGCCCCGAGTCTTTCCTGGCTCTTGGTTGTGAGATTTACCACCTCACGTTTGCAGCTAGGCACTGCATCTGTTTCTTTTGGCCGCCACCGGTGGTAGCTCAGATGTGCGATCTTTACTTTACAGCTTAGACATACCTAACATTAGGCATTAGGCAGGAATGCTAGTAGGGGGGGGGGGGGTCTAAGAGCATGATTGAGAAATAGAGAGTACCAGGTTCAAGTCCTATTTCGAAGCGGGAGGATATTTTCCAGCCGTGCTGCGAGCCACAGTTAATTGTGAGCCTGGCACGAGGGGTACATGGATGCAGTGAATGGGATTTCCGGTCTTTGACCACTTTGTGGTGGGTCTGAACTCCTCACCTCCCAATGCTTTGAGGAGCTGAATCTGTGCCTTGATCCTAGAGGGTGGTGGCGTTCCTGCGGATGCAGAAAACTCTGCTTCCAGCCGAATCTCACGCGAACCGAGAATTTATTATTATGATTTTTAGACATACCTTATGCAGCTTTTAGTGCTGAACATGCAATGAATACAGAAAACTAACTTGCAGAAAACGATCCCTCAGGGACATAGTCATTAAAATTCCCCGCGAATTTGCTTCATTCTCTTTGGCAGGGTTCTGAAAAGAACGTTTCACTCCTTCAGCAAGTCGTGGACCGTCTGCAGTCCAATCTCGAGGTAAGTTTTGACTGATCATAGGAAACTCGAGAAAAGAGACAACGAATGTTAGTGTAGTCTGCGGTGACGACTGTACCATCGCTGGCCTAATGCAAGGGTCCCTGGTGTGAGTCTTGGCGGTGGTCAATTTTTTCTTCTGATTTTGCTAACCAAGAGTACATGACACCCGGGTTTCAGGTACTCTTCCTTCAGGTGATGAATGACGTGACGGTGGCAATGTTGTCGAATACAAATTTATCACTCTTATGTTCTTCCTTTGTTTGATTACTGCTCTCTCGTTTGGTCCTCCGGTCTATCCTCCACTCTTATGCATCGGTTAGAAGTCACCCACCGTAAATTACTTCGATTAATATTCCGCATGCCCCCTCTGACCTCCTCTCAGACGCTATACATTTTGGCTTCCTCTTCCCCTCTCTCAGAACGCTTTCCCCACTCGGCATGCAAATTCATTCACCGTATTAAGCTTCAGGCAGGCCAGGCAGGCATAGTGGGATGGTCTAAGACCATGATTGAGAAACAGAGGGTACCAGGTTCAAGTCCTGCTTGGAAGCGGAAGGAATTTTTCCAGCCGTGCTGCGACCCACAGTTAATTGGGAACTCGTGGCCTGGCACGAGGGTAACATGGATGCAGCTAATGGGATTTCGGTCTTTGACCACTTGGTGGTGGGTCTGATCTACTCACCTCCCACCGTTTAGGCGCTGCATCTGCGCCTTTGATCCTAGAGGGTGGTGGCGTTCCCACGGCGGATGCGGAAAACTCGGCTTCCAGCCGAGTCTCACGCGAACCGTAAAATTTATTTTTTTAATTTATTATTAAGCTTCAACTTGCTCCTCCTCATGCACTTGCGCATTTAATCTGGTTCAATAATAGCTCGCGTACTAGATGTTCTCTCCATTTCCCACTTGCCAGATCATCGATCCTTTTAAAATCCCCTCTGTTCAAGTCCTATTCTCATTGGTCTCGGCTTCCGCAGGAGGTAAAGTCTCGTGACACCTTCGCTGCATTTTTTCCATTCTGCACGCGCCTAAGTTGAATTGAATTGAATTCGTTGTTTTCCATTGCTAGCCTAATCTTCATACTGCTCTCTCCAGGTTCCTATAGTGCTTCTTTTGTTTTGTTTTGTTTTGTTTTCTCTTTTTCTTCTCCTTCTTTTTCTCAGTTGTCCCCACCATGGGTGGTTAAAATCGCCCGCATCACATGCTTATTGGCACTATGTGATCGTGATTGTGGAAAAATAATGGTAATAATAAAATAAGAAAGGGTTTGCTCCCCACACTGGAGCTCGTGCTATGCCGCCGACTTTACTTGACGCCTGACTGACTCACGACTGCCATCCAGAGCACAAGAGAAGTCCATCGAACCTTCGACTCGGCAAGCCTGCAAGGAAGCACCACTCCCTGCTCAATACACAGTGTTTCGGGGAATTCACCCCATATCAGTTGAGCTTGAGTAGGCTGAGGAAGATTGTGCCTGAAGAGCACCACTTATATAGTGCTCTCCAGGCACAAACATCACCAGGGATACAAACTTACAGAGACGCTCCATTTCCAGCGCGACAAACACCTCGTGAACACCAGATAGCAGCGTGAGTCAGTGTCGCTCCTGGACGGTGAGACCAGACGTTGAGGACCCTCGGTCATTCGCAGCGCTGTTACCTCCAAACCAACTAGTCGCAAGCCCGCGCTGGGCACAACAGAACGAAGTAGTGGTTGCGACTTCACGCTGCTATCTGGTGTTCACGAGGTGTTTGTCGCGCTGGAAATGGAGCGTCTCTGTAAGTTTGTATCCCTGGTGATGTTTGTGCCTGGAGAGCACTATATAAGTGGTGCTCTTCAGGCACAATCTTCCTCAGCCTACTCAAGCTCAACTGATGAGGGGTGAATTCCCCGAAACACTGTGTATTGAGCAGGAGTGGTGCTGCTTTCTTGCAGGTTTGCCGAGTCGAAGGTTCGATGGACTTCTCGTGTACTCTGGATGGCAGTCGTGAGTCAGTCAAGTGTCAAGTAAAGTCGGCGGAATAGCGCGAGCTCCAGTGTGGGGAGCAAACCCTTTCTTACAAATCATCGCCGAAGTCGCAACCACTACTTCGTAATAATACAATAATCAAATCAAATGTCTCGCCATTGTCAACTAGTGCTGTAACTTGAAAGCTTTATTTCTTGTGTTGACCGCTCTTACGTTTGTCTCAATGCAGAACTCAGACGGGAGAGCTGCACGTCTTGAGCAAGCATTGGACCAGCTCCACACCGAGTTTGAGGTAAGTCGGTGGACAAGCAGTCTGCGAGGAAAAGGAGGGTTAGTGGAATGCAAGTCATACCTGACGTGAAATGGTGGTTAGCAATGATATACCCGTGCTCTAGTTTCAGTAAAGAGAATGAGAAATCACATTCATGCACATATGGATTGGTTGTCGTGGTAGCCAGGGGCCTAGCAATGCAATATTCAAGCTACCTGACCTCAATGTACACAAGTTATGGGTTAGTTCTAGTTTGCACACATCCCTCCCCTTTTCTCATGTGCTGTAATATTCACAAACAATCTGTCGACTTTGTTCATTTCAGAGCTCAAATGCAAGCGTGCAACAAACTTTGGGCCAGCTTCAAACCAAGTTTGAGGTAGGTTAAGGGACAGATAGAAAGATTCATTTTTTAAGAATCTGCAAGTCACGCCAAGCTTGCTGTTCGAAGTGACAGAATTCTGACTGTGATAACCACTACGAGAGAGCTTTAAAGCTCAGGCCCTACGCTATGCTTTTTGCCTAGCTCATCATGAATGTTATTCGAACTGACGGAAATGTCTTTGCAATACAATGATGTAGCCGATAAAGTAACGTATTTTGCCTAACGGCATAGATTGCATAGATGACGGCCCTATGCCAACGGACCGCAGTCACAGCATACCGAACCAGTTCTGTCATGATCACATCTTTTCCCCTGCCGACTGGATGCCTGTTCAGCAGTCTCTTGCTGTCGACGCATTTTTCACGAAGTCGGCGGGTCTCCAAACGACGGGATATTTGCTCCATTGTTTCTTGTTGCCGGTGTAGCCTTTCGCAAGCACGGCAACTCTCGAGGCAGCGGTACCTCTCTTCTCATATCTTCTACTCTCTGTGAAGCATTCCAGCCGTCGCCATCTGCTCAGAGCTTCAACACTGTCACCCCTATAGCGCCAGGCATGCCCGACCACACAACAAACAATTGCCGAATTAAAAAGCTGTGTGGACCCTGGCTAGCGCCAGACGTTACTCAAGTAACGTCTTTTGCATAGCTACGGGAATAATCCTTGGCGTATAATCATTGAGAACCATCAGCATACCGTATTATGGTATGCTGATGGTTCTCAATAACTAAAGCGACATATGCCCGTTTTACTGCCAGTTTCTGGCTCAGGTATGGGATATGATCAAGCTGTGTAATTTTACCCATAGCTTCATGATTTATCTATGAAAAGTATGAATGCCGCAGACATCACCACGCAACATGACAATTTGTTCAAGGCTTGGTTTTGTGTGTTTCCAAAATCGATTTTTAAGCTCCGATCATCAGTGGAAATACGGAACTAACGTGATCAAGGGAAAAACAAAGGTTAAAAATCCATAGAAGTGTGACACATGACGCGTTAGTATTACAAAAAGTGAGAACTAAGATAAAGAGTAAGTGTGACAAATGGGCATGAACAGTGCAGAAACAACGCATGAACACGGGGTGCAAACTCACGAAAATAACCTAAGTGCTACAACATGTTCTTTTTGCTTACACAAATCGGGCTTATGCGTACGAATACAAACAGCTTCAAGGACCTTCAACTGCTGGACATAACGGGCACGACACAGTACAGAGAAGTGGGAATCATCATACGGAAACGTGGCTAAATTCGTGTATCCCAGACGAGATCATTAAGATACCGGGTTACGACCTGTTCCGTCGTGACCGGTCCCAGTGCAGCACTACATGGAGCGACTTGGGTGGTGGTGGGGTAGCAGTCTTCTCTTCGTCCTCCCTTTGTGCTATGCGCCGCCGGGATCTAGAGTGCAACAATTCAGAGATGATAACTGTCGAAACAGGAGCTACAATCATTTCCTGTATGTACCGTCCTCCAAGACACGATAGTCTTGCATTCTGCAACTCATTCAGTCCTCTTCACCCCCTCGTTGACAACCGTCCAGTAATTGTCGTGGGAGACTTTAACTCCAAGAACAATGAGTGGAACAACGCAGACCCTACGAACACTGCAGGTAGACACATGCAGTCCGCCTTTGACGACTATGGCTTCACTATGGTCTCCAAGAACCATGGAACGAGGCCAACTAAAGATTCTAATCCGTCCCTAGACCTGATTTTAACTAATATGCCCCATCTTGTCACTTCATGTTACACATCCATGCCCATTGCAGACCACTGTCCTCTATTTTGCGCATATTCTCCACCAGAGAAACGCCACTCTAGAAGTACTGTCAACGCAGCCGCAGTCTCCAGAAAGGTTGACATGCACCTCCTCAGGCAGAAACTGAGCACACTACCATTGACCGAATGCATGCAGGGCACCAACGTGCACATCAGTTTCAGATGCATGGCCTACTCTGCACTGCTGGACCAGGCAATTCAGGCAGCAACGACCATCACACGCCGGAAAAACACCCAGTCGAACCAACCATGGTTCACAAAAAAACTTAAGACGCAACGTCAGCGAACTAACCGCCTCTATGTGCTCCACCGAAAGGAGCCACTCAACGATTCCTTACGAGCTGCATACAAACTCTCGCGCAACCTGTACCACCGGTCATTAAGAGCCGCCAAGGACACATACTTGTCAACGCTCGGATACACAATGCTTGGCAAGGAAAGAAAGGGTGGCTATGCGTGGTGGAAACGTGCCAAAGCAATATGCAATATTGACCAAACAAATAAAAAGGCAATTCCAGACCTGCAGAACGGCAATGAAATTCACAAAACAGATCAAGCGAAGGCCGAAACGCTGTGTACCTTCTTTGCCCGCCAATGCACCACTCAGCCAACGCCGCCGAATACTGTAGCAACTAGTATAACAATCAATGAAGCCGACGTCGATGGAAACAAATTTGGATTCGGAAACATACGCCCTGTTGAAGTCTTCGATGCAGCAAAGAGGCTGCAACAACATAAATCATCATCAGACATCAACCTGACAAACCGTATACTAAAGCAATTCGCAGATATCCTTTCCCAATCACTATCAGTATTGTTCAACTACAGCCTTGATGATGGTGTGTTCCCGTCCTCCTGGAAATCATCCACTGTAATACCGGTGTACAAGAATAGAGGTTGCGCCAAAGAGCCTACCAATTACAGACCTATATCCCTTCTCCCATGCATAGCGAAACTAATGGAAAAGATTCTCTCGGAACGTCTACTTCGATACTTGATGACCCAGGGTGTAATTTGTAAAGGTCAATTCGCATATGTACGCAACAAGTCTGTAACGGACCAACTTATCTTGCTAACCCAATCAATGGCTGTAAATATTGATAATGGCACTAATTTTGACCTGATATCTCTAGATTTCAGGAAAGCTTTCGACCGGGTCGACCACTCTATACTCCTAAAGAAATTCGGTAAGATTGCTACAGCTTCGTCAGTAAAATGGCTGAAGAGCTTCTTAGGGGATCGACAAATTGAAGTGAAGGTACATAGCACTAAATCGAAGAAGCGGAGCATCAACTGCGGAGTGCCTCAAGGTTCCCACCTTTCACCACTCCTATTCCTACTCTATATAAATGACCTGCCCAACGCTATGCAACATTGCACGCAATATCTATTTGCAGATGATGTCACCCTCCTACTGGCTTACAAACCTGAAGACACCCTCGCCAGTAGAGCGAACATGCAGTCTGATCTCGATGCATGTCAAACATGGGGCAGGAACAATGGAGGTGAATTCTCAGCAAGCAAGACATCCGTGCTGTGCCATAGAGCTATCAATGATACACCTACTGCAGGAATCCAATACCAAATGTACAATGAGCCATTAACGTTGGTTTCTGAACTGCAACATCTTGGCATCACCTTGACCGACAACCTGGATTTCCGCAAACATGTCGCCTCAATAACTTCGAAGTTCAGATATCGAGTGCACCTACTGTCAATTATGTCCCAGCAACTTACGCCTTCGGCAATGATCATACTGTACAAAGGGTTCGTAAGACCTGTGATCGAATATAGCTGTACGGTGTGGTCGTTTGGATCTAATAAGAAACCCATGACCACTCTTGATCAATTACAGGCAAGGTTTGCTAGAGCTCTACTGAAAAAGAAAAAAATTGCATTTGATTACACTTCTTCCAAATCTGTCTTAAATTCTAAATGCTCCCTAGAGTCACTAGCCTATCGTCGTCAAATCATCAGTCTCACTACTTTTCACAGATATGTTTTCCATCATCGTGATTACCTTGCTGATTTCCATTTCAAGATTACGAATAGTGAGCGACGACCAAATAAAATCATTCTTCCCAAATTTAAATCATTGTCTAAGTCTCTCTTCATGTTCCGAACTGCTATTCTATGGAACTGTTTACCCCCCAGTCTAACATCGGAAGCCTCGCTCTATAAGTTCAAAGCTGCCCTCAGGAAATTTACAGCTGACTATGCTTATGCAATCAACGGAATTCCGCCACCTTGCAGTTGATTTTCCCCATTTCTCTCCTCATCAATCCCTACTTCTCTTTGTACATACATCTACATCTACTGTTCTTTCAATCAAATGAACCCCTCGATAGGCACATTGCCTTTGGGTCATTTCATAATAATAATAATAATAATAATAATACACACTCAAACAATCGGGACGAGATAACAAATGCAAGTACACAGCTGACTTCTTACGAATTTCACCCTCATCAGCTCCATCACCTTCCCAGCCACCTGACTCCTCCTCGTCCGTTTTATCACCATCACCACCAGCCGTCTCATCGTCATCCGCCTCGTCGTCATCCGCCTAGTCATCATCCGCCGCCTCGTCATCATCCGCCGCCTCGTCATCACCCGCCTCGTCATCACCCGCCTCGTCGTCATCTGTATCTTCGTCATCCGCCGCATCATCACCCAACTCATATTCACCACCAGTTAGGCCTTGACGGATTATGCTAATATTTTCGTGAAATTATGCTTTTCGCATTCCTGAAAAAATTGCAGAATTATGCTATTTTTATGCTAAAAGTTATCATATTATGCCGCATTATGCTCACATATGCTGCTAATGTATATGATGGTTCTTTGCAAAATAACAGGGGATTTTTTTATAGGGCGTTGTACTGTACATGTAGTAGCAAAAGTTCAACGGGGTCAACGCACCGCACGACCTACAATTGTAGCTACGACCATCACTGATTGTAATGGACTGGACATGTTATCAAGGGAGTCGTAAACCTACGACTTCCGGGTGTATCTACTTGTAGTTGTAGAACATGTACAACTCTGTGGAATTTGGTGCGAACAGGCGGATTATTCCATTATTTATGCGATTGCGTGGAAGCAGAAGGAGCACGTTGTTTCACTGAAGTTGTATTCGTAGGTCGACACTTCGTTTAGTGCCTTCTCGCCTTTGGTTACGTAATCTTGTTACCTTTTTGCGTTTCCTCTAGTGGTTTTATTGCACTTGTATCTTGTTGTTATTTCTAACAACTTTCTATTTACGAGAGCATGTCTGAGAATACCAAAGTATGTGTGCAAGTGGATCTCTCCGATTTCGCTCAAAATTTGCAGGTAGGTTCCCTTTGGGGTGTGGATCGATTATGCAAAGCCCTTGAAAAAGTTTCTGAAGGGAACCTTAAAATTTGCATACCCCTCAAAAATGGCCGAAATATCACATTATTTATGGGTCTAGAAACGAGTCACGCCACAGCGTATACGAACAAGCTATGAACAAAACTCCATCAAGCCAACATTGCCTCACCTTAGAAGAGTTCCTGGAGCAGTACCGCTTAGCCACGCCAGCATCCCAGAAGACGAGGTCCATCACCCCCTGACGCCACAAATGATCGTCTTGAAAATAGCCAATTTACAAGCGCTGGCAAAACAGCCAGCTACGTCCTCAATTGGCCAGAACTATACACCGGCAGATAGTAGAACACCTCTTCTAGCGCTGAGGACATGTCCCCCATCTTCCTTTTGGGGTTTTCTTGAAATAAACTTTTTTGAATTTTTCCACTCGACCATGCTGAAATACGGCCAAAGTCATACCTGCGCAGGAAAGCTCGCCACTCCGCGACGTCTCCTCAGCAATTTCTACTCCAACACTACTCCCAAGGCCGCAGAACAACGTGTAGTGCTGACTCTGACAAGGAAAAGCAGCGGTGATCACTTGTCACTCCAAACGACAAGCTTCTCCTTGCGCCACCAATAATTTTTTGTGCGACTATAATAATAATAATAATTCGCGGGATTCGCGTTGGCATCGCTTGAATGTTCAGAAACACACAAACTAGCCTTCGCTTCCGCGTGCGACTGTTGCTGCAAAAGTGACTGAAGGCCTGAGCGCAGTTTTTGAATTTTATTGCAAGATGCACGGTGAAATCACGTGCCTTGTGACGCAAGAATGCCAAGTCGCGTGGCCCACGGCTCACGAGATTTCAGAGTCACCTTTGTCAAGTGCGCTTGTTACTCGCCTTGAACGACCGTTGGTCTGGAAGTGATCACACTTGTGTTGTTACGGCGCTCAAGAACACGCTGACCGTGTTGTAGGCCTACGAACCGGGACTTTCCCTGACCATGTAGGTCGAAGACCAGTGAAATGATGATGAAATCACATTCTTTATGACGTAAGAAATCTCTCATGCAGTTCACGCGACAAGTGCGTGCAGCCAGTGCTGCTCGCGTGCCATGCGCCAGTCAACACAAAGGGACCGAGCTAGTCGCTTTTGCCGAGCATCGACATGAAAACAAGGGACTTTTAGTTTACTGTTGGACTATGTTCGGGATTGCAGGAGGTAAGTGTGAAAGACGAATAACTCTCTATGCTGTACGGGGCATATTCCAACGGCTTGCTGCCATTGCAACACTCCTAGGGCAGTTTGTGGGGGTCCTCAGCAGTTCAAGCAGGAAATGAAGCTCATCTTACCTCTGCCATCATGGTCTGTTCCGAGTAGCGTTCCAGGCACATTCGCGATCGATGGCCGCGTAACGTGATGCAGGAAGCGTCATCGTACGTCACAGAGCACGCGATCTCACCGTGCATCTTGCAATAAAATTCAAAAACTGCGCTCAGGCCTTCAGTCACTTTTGCATCAACAGTCGCACAAAAAATTACTGGTGGCGCAAGGAGAAGCTTGTCGTTTGGAGTGACAAGTGATCACCGCTGCTTTTCCTTGTCAGAGTCAACACTACACTTTGTTCTGCGGCCTTGGGAGTAGTGTTGGAGTAGAAATTGCTGAGGAGACGTCGCGGAGTAGCGAGCTTTCCTGCGCAGGTATGACTTTGGCCGTATTTCAGCGTGGTCGAGTGGAAAAATTCAAAAAAGTTTATTTCAAGAAAACCCCAAAAGGAAGATGGGGGACATGTCCTCAGCGCTAGAAGAGGTGTTCTACTATCTGCCGGTGTATAGTTCTGGCCAATTGAGGACGTAGCTGGCTGTTTTGCCAGCGCTTGTAAATTGGCTATTTTCAAGACGATCATTTGTGGCGTCAGGGGGTGATGGACCTCGTCTTCTGGGATGCTGGCGTGGCTAAGCGAAACTGCTCCAGGAACTCTTCTAAGGTGAGGCAATGTTGGCTTGATGGAGTTTTGTTCATAGCTTGTTCGCATACGCTGTGGCGTGACTCGTTTCTAGACCCATAAATAATGTGATATTTCGGCCATTTTTGAGGGGTATGCAAATTTCAAGGTTCCTTTCAGAAACTTTTTCAAGGGCTTTGCATAATCGATCCACACCCCAAAGGGAACCTACCTGCAAATTTTGAGCGAAATCGGAGAGATCCACTTGCACACATACTTTGGTATTCTCAGACATGCTCTCTTACAGTACTTAACTTCAGTTTCTTTGGTTGTATCCTTAGTTCCGTATATTCCCACTGATGATAGGGACAAGAAAATCGATTATGGGTTTTCAATAATATTTTTGTTATAAAATACACAGTAAATACATGTCAAACAAGTAACGTACTTCCTCCGCGTCATTAAAATTGTCGCTTCGCACATCGCAATGTTTGTGACTTGGCTCGTCTTTATAGTCAGACTGTCGGAATCGCTGTTTTCTGTGTTCGAACATTGGTGCGACCCTTCCTGCGCAATGTCTACTTGTTACTGAAGCCGTGGTGGTCTCGGACTTTGTCGGAGCTCTCTTCCGCATGAAGAAAATTCATCGCGCTCCGCACTATTCCGCCCCAGAGCGCAATATCATTTTTCTGGAGTTCATGCCGTCCCATATCGCTCCTTGGGGATTTATCAAGACTGCAAGCTCGGATATAAGAATCCTGGTATCTCTCCTAAATACGAAATGCTGAAGTTGACGGTAGCAAGAACAAAGTGTTCTCAAATTCCTCAAATGGGATACTTGTGGCGCATGTTGCTGCGAATGTAGCAGGTCTGAAAACACCAACAAAATCAGCAACACGCTTGCCAAGGAAAGAAGGTGCCGAACTGCTTACCCTTTCCCGCTGGAAGGTCGTTACAGTGTACTTGAAAAATGCTAGCTTGCCTTCATCATCTGCCACCTGGAGGCATGGATTGCTTGAAAACGAAGTTTCTTTACCTGAATTTGAACGCGCGTCTTGTTCAGCGTGTTGAGTGCTGAAGGGCCTGCCTCAAACTCTGATGAAGACGTCGACCTTTGCTGCAAGTGAAGCGAAGCAGGAGGCCACAAACTAAAGCTTGGTCCGTCGACAATGCTCTGCCTCAATTTCTAGCTGATATATTTGCCCTTCGAGTGGAAAAAATAAATTCAAAGAATCGCTCTGGGAAGCGACAATTTTAATGACGCGGAGGAAGTAGTTGCGTGATGTCTGCGGCCTTAGCTATATTAAAATTTATGCGATTCGTATGCAATTTGCCTCGAATTATGCGATTATTCGATTTTGGTAGGAATTATGCGAAAAATTATGCTAGCATAATCCGTCAAGGCCTAACACCAGTCCGTCGTCTGATACCATCCGTGTTCTCCTTCCTACGTCTGTCTCGTGCCACTGTCCTTAGACCATCTACGTCTCGAGATTGTGTTCCGTTTTGCTTCTGGTTTCTGTTCTCCTTCGATGCTCCGCGTGGGCCTTGGCCATTCCTAGCATATATTTCGATTGAATAATTGGCAGCCGACCTCCGTGGTCTCTGGACCCACGGATCAAGCGTCGGAGGGTGCTGCGGTGTACGCACAGCCGGATACTGTGTGACAGAAATGGGATCAATTTCTGTGATTGGCGGTACTGTCGTTGTTGCCGACTCCACCCCAACCCCAGCCACCAACGGCACTGGTGGTGGCTCCAGTGGCGGCAAGGGCAACGGTGGAGAAGGCACATTCGGTTGGCTTAGTGATCCACCACTCTTCCTCTGCACCGTGTGTTCGATTTGCTCTGGCTGTGTCGGTGGTAGAGGGATTTGTGTAAGCAAAAAAAACATGTTGTAGCACTTAGGTTATTTTCGTGAGTTTGCACCCCATGTTCATGAGTTGTTTCTGCACTGTTCATGCCCATTTGTCACACTTACTCTTTATCTTAGTTCTCACTTTTTGTAATACTTACGCGTCATGTGTCACACTTCTTTGGATTTTTAACCTTTGTTTTTCCCTTCATCACGTTAGTTCCGTATTTCCACTGATGATCGGAGCTTAAAAATCGATTTTGGAAACACACAAAACCAAACCTTGAACAAATTGTCATGTTGCGTGGTGATGTCTGCGGCATTCATACTTTTCATAGCTATTATTAAACTTTTATCTCCACGTAGATTATTCATGATTTATGTTTCATGATTGTTGTGTTTTGTATTGGTCTATGTTCTGCTATTCTTCAACAGAGCTCAGAGAGAACCCTAAGACAAGACCTAAGTACTGTCAAGTCAAGTTTGCGGGTATGCGGTTTGTGAGAGAAAACATGCTTAGAGATAGTATTATATTGAAATGGCATACCTGTTTTACTGCCAATGTCTGTTGTCTGGCTCAGCAAAATTTGATAAGAAAATTGGGGCTCAGTAAAATTTGATATGATCAACCGTTGTCTGATGAGGCGCATAGCGTAGCATGATGATCTATGTTTCGTGTATCTGATGATTGTTGTGTGTTGTATTGGTCTTTGTGCTGCTATTCTTCAACAGAGCTCAGAGAGAAACTCTGCCAACCTAAGACAAGACCTAAATGCTGTCAAGTCAAGTTTGCGGGTATGTGGTTTGTGAGAGAAAACAGTGCCTGGGGAATATATTGTATCACGTGAATCATGTCTCTTAGCAACCGCTGAACTTCTTCTAAAAGTACACGACCTGCCATACCCTCATCAGAACATGGGCACATACTCTGCAGTACAATGTATGCAGAGGTGTAGTACATATGTGAAAACATAGCCAGTATTTACAGCTTGAAGAATACAGTACTGAGTACCTGATATTGGACACATCCAGAGATTGTATAGTGCCTATCTTAGTGATAGAACCTGTCGACCAGTAACCGAGAGGCCCTCCCTCCCTACTTTTGATCCCCAGTAGGTGTGACCTGACCTATCTTGGCTCCAGTCACTCAAGTTCTTCAGTTTTGATTGAAATCTTTCCATACTCCTACCGACAACAAACCATAGAATGGCACCAGAGCATGTGCTCGGTGAAGACAACAGTGAGGCAAAGAAGATCGCTAAGAATCTAGATGTAGACAACAGAATAAGTCACAAGCATAAACATCTATAACGCTAAAAGACCATAAAGACAACTTTGCTAGCGCGTTGCCCTGCAGACTCGGCCAAGCCTAAAGTGGGTGTGGACTGCAAGGCTATACTGGAAACAGGTCATGACTGCCTTTCGGCACCAAACACCATTCAACGTTTGATAGAATTGTCCGATTGGTAGTGATTGAAGGTTTTTTCAATGGAATAGACGTGTACCTACAACATCTCTTGCAAGCGGGGCTTTTTGTTCATTGATATTTATTTGTTATTGAAAACCACAAACCTTCACACATATGAATATGCACAATGTACAGTGTACATTGTGTATGTATAGAGAAGCCAGCACAGAAACTGCAGTGGTGGTGAGGCCTGGGCATCTCGTCCGACCATGGGTCTTTTGAACAAGGTATGCGTGACGGTGTACCTGGCTCAAAAGGCCCGCTTGCCAGAGTTGCAAACTGTTTGGGGAGTCGACTACTCTCCCGTTTCTCTCTATGTAGAATTCTGACGGGAGAGCTGCACGTCTTGAGCAAGCAATGGGCCAGCAGCAAACTAAGTTGGAGGTAAGTCAGTTGAGGAACAGGCTGCGAGGGGAGGGAGGGGAGGGGTTAGGGGAATGCCATGCATATACAGCAATGATATACCCTTGCTCTGGTTTGAGGAAAGAGAGAGAAATTCCGAATGTGCACATAGGAATTGGTTGTCATGGCAGCCCCAGGGGCCTAGCAATGCACTTTTCAAGCTATCTTTTAAATGTGCCGAAGAATTATTGTTAGTTCTGGTTTGAACACACCTCTCCCCCTTTGTCAGGGAATCTAATAGCCGCAACAAACTCTAATCGTATAATGATTGTGTCGTAACCTATCGACTTTGTTCATTTCAGAGCTCAAATACAAGAGCTGCGAGACTGCAACACACTTTGGGCCAGCTTCAAACCAAGTTTGAGGAAAGTTAAGGAACAGATAAAAAGATTCAGTTAAATAATCAGCAGAGTAACCTCTAGCTTGCTGTTCGAAGTGCCAGAATTCTGATGCTGATAACCATATACATGTAATTCTTTAAGTACTGCCTTTGTAATACTTCGAGTACTGTATATGGGATGCTGATTGTTCTCAATGACTGAAGTGACACGTGCCCGTTTTACTGCCGATGTCTGGCTCAATTATTGAATATGATCAACTTGTGTAATTAGACTCATAGCAAAGCATGATGATCTATGTTTCGTGTATCTGATGATTGTTGTGTGTTGTATTGGTCTTTGGACGGCTATTCTTCAACAGAGCTCAGACAGAAATTCTGCCAACCTAAGACAAGAACTAAATGCTGTCAAGTCAAGTTTGCGGGTAAGTGGTTTGTGAGAGAAAACATGCGTGAGGATTACGCTTTCCCCAAATCGGTAAGCTTTTCCCCGATTTTGGAGGGTTACTTTGAGAATCGCCGAAAATGTTGTTCCATCAAACTGCCATTTGTCAATGATCGCTTGGCGAGTGATGTTCGCCGTACAGTCAGATCCTTCAGTAATGATGTGCGTGTTCTGTTCCAGTCCGATTGGTCACTCCGACTCCGAGATATGTTAGTATCTTCATCATGGTCCCATCGTGAATGCCCGAAGGATGTGTAGTACTATAAGAAATAAGAGAGGGAGAGGGCGACCTGTTGTCAATGCTTGTCTCAGGATGTCGTCTTAAAAAAGTTATGTATCATTTGTTCCGAGTAGTATGTTGGTAAAATAGAGAGAAGAGATTTGACCCCAGCTCTGTTGCATAAGCTTGTCATGCCAGGTGGTGAATAGGGCTTGAACATGATGACGTCAGAAGTCAATAAAATAATCATGAATGACTTCTATGTGACCCACTCTGACCATAGTGATTTACATGTAGAACATCCGATGAGTCATAAGTTAGTGAGTTTTGGTGAAATTGATGTGTCCGCTAATTTTGCCCTTTTGTGCTTTTTGGTGCATGTCAGTATCTGGGCACAGGCTGTAATCTTCGAACTCTTGGATACAAGTATCAGAGTCGCCACAGTATCAACTATGAGCCGGATGAAGGACAGATTGCTTCAGTGACGTTCAGAAAGAAGCATACCAACACTGTACTGAAGTTATCCTATTCTGGTAATATACGCACACGGGGAACAAACACAGGTGCGCGTTGGTACTTCAAGATCGACAACAGGGAGTGTGCCAGACCTACCAAGATAGATATAGTCATGTACCAGAGCAGTGACGACAGCACATTTGTCCCTGCCGTACTGACTGGTATCTGTGAGTCGACGTACAGCAGTGGAGCTAACATTGCAGCTGGAGATCACACCATCACAGTACATGTTGGAAGATATGGTCTCGCCAGTGATGCATATACAGGCTGGGCTAGCACCTCGATTCTTGAGATTCAAGAAATGTGTCCACAGTTTTAGCATCTGAAATGGTTATAACAGTGTACGTTGATATTGGAAGATGGACAACAAGGAACAGGCCAGACCCACTAAGAATGATAGAACTGTAGGAAAGAGTACTGCCCACACCAACCATGCACTGTACCATACTGACCAGTATCTGTGACTGGACTACCAGTAATGGAGTTAACATTGGCAGCTGGAGATTACATGATTACCGTGCATGTTAGAAGAATTGCGAGGCTATAGCAATGGTAGTCCATACACATGTTAGTCCATCTTCTCCTTTCTCAAGTTTCGAACCCCACAATTTCAGTATTTCACGAATATTATAGCCTAAGTTTCTTGAAGACCAGGAACTGATTGTTTTGACAACAAGTGTTACTCAATAGATTCGTTGTCTAATTCCACCTTGGTTTTCTTCTCGCCCAGCGGTAAACATATTCTGCACTGTTCAAATCTGGTAATGGTGGTGGTGCATGTGTGTATGTATCTATTATGTGTGTGTGTGTGTGTGTGTGTGTGTGTATGTGTGTGTGTGTGTGTGTGTATGTATGTGTGTGTGTATGTGTATGTGTGGTCGCTGCTTTCGCGGTGTCCGGGGACGGGGAAGGCATCGCTGTTCAAGGGTGGCTCATAGACCAACAGCAGAGGAGCGCTCAGCCTTCCAGCACGTGTGCATATGCGGCAAGCGGATGCGACTACCCGTGCATCTGGAGCGTCATCGAGCGTCGTGTCCTCTCTCTCTCTCTTCTCAAGTTTCCCAGTGATGGGATCACGTGACCCTTTTGCGGCAGTGACTCTACAGGACAGGGACAGGGACAGGTGTGTGTGTGTGTGTGTGTGTGTGTGTGTGTGTGTGTGTATGCGTGTGTGTGTGTGTGTGTGTGTGTGTTTGTTCGGCTGTAATTTCTGTTCTGCATTGTCGCTGAACAACTATCCAAGATTGTTTTCTATTTTTCTTCTTGCTAGTACAAAGTATCAGAGTGTGGAATTTAATAGCCATGTCTTTCTTTATGCAGTAACGATGTCTCCACTGCCACCTTTACACATGTACTGTATAGTTTCTGCTGGCCTGCATTCCGTTTTCTACTTACCTCCTTTATACGGTTTCCTGACTTCCTGGTCATGACTAACATATCTGTCTCTCAAGTACATATTTCAATAGTGCATAAGCTCTTGACTCCTGACTGTATCTTGCATGTACATGTAAGTGAAATGGGTAGCATGAAGTGCACTCTGTTATCCTTTTAGTGAGTCATGTAGTTAGTATTTACCCCAACCTTCGTGTGTGTTTGTTCAAGCAAACAAACAAGTTTTAAAAACAACTTGACATGCGGCGGGGTACGCTGCGAGTAGCAACAGACAACCCACAAGGCAGAAATTGGTCACACACACTAAGTCAGAGACAGACTGAGACACAGCACATGCACACAAAACAAGACCAGGGAAGAACAAGAAGCAGACCGAAACAACTCTGGTTTCATCACGCACAAGCTGACAGTGAAAGTGACGTACACGAGCATGTACAATACTAGTCAACAGTACAATCATAACTCTTGCTACTAAGACTAGCAGTGACAATGAGCATGCTACGTTTTCTAATCCTTGCATCACGAGCTACCAGGGAGATTATACTATATTTTTGTATACTATTGATAATACAACGCGGATCATACAGAACACATGACATCGACTCTCACCAAGCAACAGCCCAGGTAGCATTGTTAGATGCGTTGGAGGCCTGAGGAGGCAAGAATGACAGACGGACAAATTTATCATGTCATGATGATATGGCCAAGATGCATCATTGATAGCTGAGAGGCAAGAATGCCTGACAGACCATTTGATGTCATTATGATATCCAAGTCTGAGATGCATTCGTTAAAGCTCAAGTTCAGCGCCAAAATCATGCACAAATGGACAATGAGCAGTCCAGAACAGAAACGGATTCAAAACATGCATGAGTAAAATGTGGAAAGTGAATAAACCTAGCGAGACTTGTACATGTTACGTTGCCCTCAAGTGCATGTCCGTGCCAATATGCTATACAAGCGAGCACGAAATTCAGGTTGCCAAAAAGTAAGTACGGTTCGTCCTAGCTGTTGACTGACTAGTCACTCCCTGGACCGACTTGTGCTGTGGGATCCCTTGAAGATGAATACTAGCTTGACATGTTTCGTCTTTCAGCTATCCTGCAGAGTTGTGTCGCTTTCATTGTTTCTCTACTGGAACTAAGTGGACCTCGGATAAGACGTACTCCCTCGCGAGTCGGGGTGTGGGAATAAGTACGTAGTATCCAATGTACTTATTATCCAAAGTTACCTCCTGCGGCCCCACTATTACAAACATTGATCATGTACACGCGCGTCCCAAAAGACATTGCAAAGGCAAGTAAGCTAAGATGGAAAAGAATTTTATTGCAATGTCTCGCTTTCCCGATCACCAGCCAAACAATATTCATGTACACACGCATTCCACAAGACCTTGGATTTGGCTTTGTACTGGCCCACAACTTGCACGGAGTCTTGCAAGTAAAGCTAAAGTAAAATTTAATCATCGTGTCCGTTTCCGAAGGGAACTCACGACGGCCGCTAACACCCAGTAACCCCTAGGCCGTAAACCAGACAGGCACAGTGGGTTGGTCAAAGACCATGATTGGGACACGAGAGGCACCTGGTTCAAGTCCTGACTTGGAGCGGTTTTTCAAGCCGTGCTGCTACCCACAGTCAACTAGGAACTTATGGCCAGGCACAAGGGGTACATGGGTGCGGCTTATGGGGTTTCTGGGCACTTGTGCAAGTGGTTGTGAGACTTATCCACTCACCCCCACTGTAAGGCGCTGCATCTGTCGCTAGGGTTTACTGGAGGCGTGTGCTGGATGGGAAAGGAGACCAAGCGATCATGCAACAAAGACATGCAGCTGGCTATTGCACCTCGATCGAGTAGGATGGGGGGCTGACGAATTGTTTAGACAAAATTAATGTTCTCTCACCAAACGTCAGTGTTAGATGAATGTCAAATTCGCTTGCGGGTAAGTCCATTTCAACCAAGACGCGAGATATGGAATTTGTGCACCAAAGTGATCAACTCACAAAATGGTCTGTAGCCAGGGAAAGGCGAACGACGAGTCTTTTGGGCTGCGCCAGAACACTGCCTCACATAGATCCATTAATCACTCCTTCAACACACCTGTGACCAAACTTGTGTTTGCACCTTTCCGACAGCGACCTGCAATACACGGTTCGCCTCAGGCATGGCACTTGTGTTGCCTTGTGCGTATCCATTCCTGATCATTTTCACAGGATCTGAAAAGAACCTGATTCTATTTCTTTCGCATAGTGCATAGTGTCCCGTTGGCATACTGAGGCTCAAATCCGGAGCGAATTGCTTTATAAACGAATCCAAAGGACCACTCAGAAAGAAGGATACAACGAGGATACGTGTCACGGTACAGCTCACGACAGCGCTGACATGTCATCGGCCTCGCAAATCCAAGCTCACGGTATAAAGCGCTCGCGTTTGGATCATGTGATCCGAAAAAACATTGACAACCGAACCGTCAGATTCTGATCAAACGTACCTCAAAACGCGAGCTCCATTCCGAGGTTGTTCCACACAGCTGTCGTCTCCGGATCCATTCCATTCACCTAGATTTTTTTCTAAAACATCCTCACGGTCTTTCCTTGGAATTTTCAACAGTTATTTTCCCCAGTACTCTGTCACGCTCACTGCCGTCATTCTATTCAGCGTCTTCGTCTCCATATTATCCAATGGGATATTCATGCGAATCGGTTCCTTTCCCATTCTTCTGCCCACAATGACACACACCTAATTTTGGCCCTTTTTCTTCTCGCTGCTCTGCGTGTCCCCTGACCATTCCTGGTAGAAGACTCTCGCTATCTGCCTATAAAAGCTACTGCTCGCTCCCTTTTTCTTCACTAAAGTTTTCAGTCGAGTTTGGTGGGAAAGAATGAAAGCTTGTAATCACAATAGTGCTCTGAAAACATCCCAGTAGCGTTACAGCTACATCCCCCCGTCATAGACGTTACATTTGGGCCTGACGCTGTTCTTTCGAAGCCTGAGAAAGACATCCGCGATGGCCTTCGCTGCAACAGCTCGGAAGCCGGCAATGTCCGCTACCCTGCTGCTGCTGCTGCTGCTGCTGGTGGTGTTTAATCTGTTAGTTTTCATTCCGAGTACACCCGCCGCTACTATCCCAGCAGTGACACCCAGAAACGGTAAGAAGTCATTCATTCATTCACGAATTGTTGCCTGGTTAGCTCGGTTCAGGTTGTTGGGTAGGAATACTGTACGAGCTCTTCCATAACTGGACGCGCGTGCATTCTCCCTGTAGATTTCTGTGTTTGCAAGGCTGACACTTTTACTGCATTATAGGCTATTCACAGTGCTATACCCTAATTGTAATAATACTCTAAATAAAGGAGAATTGTGCGTTGCTGCATACGGGAGCTCGCGCTTTTGACTTACTGACGACTGCCATCCAGAGCACACGAGAAGTCCATCAAACCTTCCACTCGGCGAACCTGCAAGAAAGCACCACTCCCTGCTTAATACACAGTGTTTTGGGAGATTCATCAGATTCATCCCTCTTCAGCTGAGCTTGAGTAGGCTGAGGAAGATTGTGCCTGAAGAGCACTACTTATAGTGCTCTCCAGGCACAAACATCACCACGGATCCAAACTTACAGAGACGCTCCGTTTCCAGCGCGACCAACATGCAGCAGCGTGAGTCAGTGTCGCTCATGGAGGTGCTGAACAAACGCTGAGGACCATTCGCCAATCACAACACTGTTGCCTCCAAACCATCTAATTCGCCAGCACGCGCTTGGGACAACAATGTGCGAGAGGGAGTGGTGCTTTTTTGCAGGTTTGCCGAGTTGCAGGTTCAATGGACTTCTCGTGTGCTCTGGATGGCAATCGTAAGTCAGTCAAGTGAGAATTCAAGTGGGCAGGAAAAGCAGGAGTTCTTATGTAGAGAGCAACACACAATTCCCCAAGTATCGTCGAAGTCGCGCCAACCTCTTCTTCAAATCCCCACCCTTGTGCTTGACTCATATGGCGGTAAAACACAACTGGAGATATGCCCACACACGCTCTCAAAGTTGCAAAGGCTTTTTAAAATAAAATAACACTCTAGCGCAGAGCTCTTCTTCTCACCACAGCTGGCTATTCGCGTCTGGAGCCCAGTGGATGCATGCCTAGTGATGTATGATGTCATGGCGGTCTGGTACTTCAGGTAGTGCTTAGCTAATATAACATGCTGAAGTACAGTCGATCGCAGTGGAGTCTGCAATTTCATTCCTCTCAGCCAAGATCCGCGTGAAGACATCCGAAAAGGAGATTTGTTTGAAGAGTCTAGTGGGAAGGCAAGTTGTTGTTGTGCCGCCTCATGCGATCGGTCGTTATTGAGCTATGGGATTTGGGACTTGCTGGTGTTGGTACTGCATTGTATAATGGCAAGGTCATGGCTTTACCCATTCAATATTGTTTAATGGGTAAAGTCATTACCTCACCATTCTCCATTATAACAGTGCGGTGTATGTGTGTGTGTGCGTTTGTGTGTTTGTGTGTGTGTGTGCGCGCGTTTGTGTGTGTGTTGGGGGGGGGGGGGGTGCGTTTGTGTGTGTGGGGGGATGCTTGGGGTTGGGTGTTGCCATAGAGACCTGCATGACAAGATGGCTGAGGGAGGCTACAATCGACGGCAGCTTTACAAGTACAGACGTACAGCAAGTGGAGAGAGTTGTGAAGAAGCTGAATCCAGCTCTCGACGAGGCAACTATAAAGCACACAGATCGTGACATATTGGACTTTGTGCTGTCCGGCAATCGACAAGCAGTGGATTTCCTCTATCGCTGCCTGGGTGAGTGAAGCTCCACGTTTTCTTGTTTCGCTTTCAAGAGCATAACACAGTGAAACAAAGCCGGGTGTGGTACAGTGAGCAATGAAAAAATAATGTATATTATCAGAGCCAGAATGTCAACCACGCCCGTACGTATCCTGCCAGAAGCCTGACAGAGGCAAGTGAGTGATCTACTGTACATTTCCATGTACATGTATGTAAAACATGTACTTAAGTTAAGATATTGGCTCAACATCCGAGTTCTAATTCCCTTTCTTTCACCTTACTACCCAGCGAACTCTTTTGTATGGCCAACTCTCAGAGTGATGAAGAATTGTTGTCTGCATCAGCGTGAAAATGTGCCATAATCTAACATTTACAATAAGGAGGCCATTCGGTGAGGAAAGAATGATATTTTTGTTTCTTCTACAAAATCCACATATCTCCAGACACTGGGGTGAATAATGGAGTGTGGTGGTGGGGTCCCTAGTGATGAAGATAGAGATGTAGTTAAATTGTATTAGTATTTACTCGTGCACTTGTCATGTGAAAGTGTTTGTGTTGGAGTCTGAGTACAATTTGAACCAACATCCACGCAAGGCATGCTGGTCTTCTGTGATCTATTCTCTATTCTGATGCTGCACAGGTAACCATGGTGATGCAGAGTGTCGGCGTTCATCACCATGCCAACACGCAGGACGGTGTATGTACACTAGTGGCCATGGCAACGGCGGACTTCCGGTATCAGGGTATAGATGTGTCTGTGCTAGCGGGTTTGCTGGAGAATATTGTCAGCGTGGTGAGTGACACTCGCATCTGTTTGTTTGTCCATGTGTTTGGTCGTTCACCTTTCTGACTATATAATTGAGTTGATCTTCATTAGGCTGAGGAAGATTGCAACATGCTTCTGATGAGGGGTGAATTCCCCGAAACACTGTGTGTTGAGCAGGGAGTGGTGCTTTCTTGCAGGTTTGTCGAGTGGAATGTGCGACGTGCTCCTAGCGGGGCCCGGATGGCAGTCGTGAGTCAGTCAAATGTCAAGTTCGGCAGGAAGTGTCTGTTTCAAGTAGGAACAATCAACTTCATCACTATTTCCTCCGAAGTCGTTACTTCTAAGTTTTAGGCTTCAAAAACATCAACATGATTTGCTCAGTTTGCCTGCCTCCTTTGCTTACCGGTATTTACATGTACTTCGAAGTAAGATGTACGTGTATTTCCTCTGGTGACTGCGCTGTTTTCTGCCTAGCTGCAAGTCAGTGTTCATCATCACCGTGTGATCATGGTGGTACCTGCGAGGAGACCGGTGATGCATACACATGCCAGTGTTCCCCGTTCTTCACTGGACGCCATTGTGAAACACGTAAGCAGCAAGTCGCTAACTGCAATTGTTCTACTGTAGGTGAGATCCGATCCGAAGTGCAGAGCAGGGAGTAGGTATTTTACTACTCTCCGTGCAAAGCTCCACTTGACTCTTGTGACTCTGGACATTGGTGTGAATGCTGCTAGCCGTACACATGAACACATCAACATGTACTAATATAGTGATAATAAGTCATTATATTGGTAACTGCAACAAGGTGCCAGCTTTGTAAATGGCGTCGGAATTCGGATATTTTCAAATTTTAAACTTGACCAGCCTAATTTGTGCAAAACAATGATTTTCGTAAATTAATAAACTTCCTTTCAGGCTAAGAATCCCATTTGGCCTCGACCACCTGAAATCCCTGTGCAACAGCCTTGCATGTAGAGTTGTGGTTTGAGAAATCCCACCTGTTGTATGCACTCGTGTATTGCTGAGAAACATTGCACTCGTGTACTTCTCTTCTTTTCATGAAAATGAAATCCTATTTCCTACCGCCTTAGGAGCTGCGTCTGCGCCTTGATCCTTGAAGGGCGGTGGCGTTCCTACGGATGCAGAAAGCTCGTGTTACAGTGAAACAAGTCCAGTTTGCACCCCTGTACCAGTGCACAGCCCATATTTCCCCAGCCCTGGGGATGCACAACGCCAGACCTAACATTCACTCGCAAAATCTGATTTCATTGAGAGTATGTTGTGCATATTTTCCAACATGCACGATAATTCGGCAGACTTTTAATATTTTAGCGCGAAAGCCGATTGCTTGGTACTGGTGCTTTTCTGTTCTTCCTGTTAGGTTGGTTGTCATCACAAGTTCTGTCTAACATGACATCCACACTGTCCAAGCTATCCAGAGCAACGGAGCGTCTTCAGGAAAAGAGCGAGAGATCCGCACAAAGGGCATCCGACGAGATCTCGGCATTCCTCACACGGATCCAAGATAGAGTTGATGCCATGGATGAGAACTTTCAAGACCTGCAGAACAACATGAGCAGAGTGTTGCAGGTGAGGGCACATAGAGAATATACCGTACATCAAATTGCTTCTGCGCCTTTTTCAATACAACCACCTCCGTCGGCACCACTACTCGTCATCATCATGGTTTAAGTCGCTTTATTTGCAAACATTATTTGTCTGAATGTACATAGCAGGCTGTGGAGCTTCATCACATTCGGGAACTAATATTAGAAGTGTAAAGCGGGCTCGGTTTTGGAGAAAGGCATATCATAATAATTGCTATCATCATTCATTGGAAACTGCGATGGTATGTGGATAAACTTAATGCAGTTCAGAATACTATTACTAATAATTATCTACTTGGATAGAAAAGAAGGACACAATGTTATGAGTCATGACTACCTGCCCACCGAAATACTCAGATCTTACAGGAAAGGAAGGCCCTGCAGCCCTTCATGCTAAATGAATATTGAGCAGTGAGCCATGCTACCCGTACTTGATAACGATAATCAGATCATAAACAGTCAGCAAACCATAACTAGTAACACTTTGTCTTTCGTTTTCATCCATTGGTTACATTGGGCCACCATCCGTGTTCAAATACTATCTCTTTGTCGTTCTCTGGTTTGTGTTAGACTGAAGGCCAGCAGTGCAATCGATTCTCACTTGGATACAAGTATCAAGCTGTTCATAACGCCAACCGCGGCAATTTTGAACAAATTTCATCGATGACGTTCAACAAGAAGCAGCAGCAGAGTCTTCTACGCATTACCTTCTCCAGCAATATTGGTGTAAAAGGCAGAAACAAAGGAGCGAGGTGGTTTGTGAGGTTCGATGGAAACGAGTGCACTCAGCCAGAAAAGCTTGATATTTTTGCATACAGGCAGATGAGTACCACTTTGTATATTCCTAGCGTGCTGACTGGAGTATGCAGCGCTACAAGCGCAGGTACTATTGGAAAAGGACACCATGAAATTTCAGTGCATGTCGGTAAACGCTTAAAGGTCGCAGGAGCTGGAGTAAGGTCTGGGTATGGATCTCTGGGATATTTTGAAGTTGTTGAGATTTGCCCGCCATACTGACAAGTTCATCTCTTTTGGCTGATATGTAGTTCGTTTCAGAAGGTTATCTTTCCTTCTCTCTCTCTCGATCTCTGTATCCCGCTCTCTCTCTCTCTCTCTCTCTCTCTCTCTCTCTCTCTCTCTCTCTCTCTCTCTCTCTCTCTCTCTCTCTCTCTCTCTCTCTCTCTCTCTCTCTCTCTCTCTCTCTCTCTCTCTCTCTCTCTCTCTCTCTCTCTCTCTCTCTCTCTCTCTCTCTCTCTCTCTCTCTCTCTCTCTCTCTCTCTCTCTCTCTCTCTATCTATCTATCTATCTATCTATCTATCTCTATCTATCTATCTATCTATCTATCTCTCTCTTTCGCTCTCTCTCCTGTTCCCTCGCTCTCATGTCTCTGTCTTTCAATTTCACCCCGAGGCTCTCCCTGTGTGTCTGTCTTTGTGAATTTGATGCATTTACTGACTATTGCTGAGCATGCCGTACATAAATAACACTATCCTTTTCATAAACCTTTTTATAGACCATGGAATTTAGCATTTCCTTTGATCTGAGCAAAATACATTCATCTATCTGTTGTGCCTGCGAAAAATGTCCGCTACGTACATTTAGTAACTACTCAGATGGTGAGCCAAGGAAAATATTAGAATGGAAACAAAGAAAACGATGGGGCACAAGACCAAGTTATGCGTTCCAGTCCACCAACTAAACCAGGTTTTGAACAGTCAGACGTGCACAAGGTAGCACCAGTCTCACAAGGAGTACGGAGACATTCCATGGAAAGGAAGTGAGCTTGAGCACTGCTCGATAGCGCTAACCCACGGCCTTCCAACTTGAAAGGCTCTTGGATATTAGTGATAATTCCAAAGAGGGGGGAAGGTAAACGCCATCAAGCCGAACACAAGCTACATTCCAAGGCACAGTGGAATGCTGACTTGGTTCTATAACGGGACGGTAGGACCATTTGATAATACGGTCTAACCACAAGTCGACAACGCAACTCTCTCGCTCTCTCTCTCCTCTCTCTATCTCTCTCTCTCTCTCTCTCTCTCTCTCTCTCTCTCTCTCTCTCTCTCTCTCTCTCTCTCTCTCTCTCTCTCTCTCTCTCTATCTCTCTCTCTCTCTCTCTCTCTCTCTCTCTCTCTCTCTCTCTCTCTCTCCTGCCCTCGCTGTCTCTCTCTTCCTCTCTCTCTCTCTCGCTCTCCCTCCCCACCCACTCTTGGTGCGGCTAGTAGGCCATGAAGTCGAGACCCTAGGTCGGCGGAGCTCCCTAAACCTCACCAGAACCGCCACGAGGTCTTTGTAAAAAAGGAAAGAAAAAAAGAAGAAAAAAAGCAACAATCACCCAACTTGGGAGGCTCAATTTTATCAAGGATAGGACATGAAAAGAGAAGCTTCGCGAGGTTGAATTGTAACAAATCGAATGTCGATATCCTACTGACTGTTCAAAACCAAATATTTAGTTGGTGGACTTAACGCATAACTTGTGCCCCGCCGTTTTCTTTGTTTCCATTATTTAAATGTTCCCTTCTTATCAAAATATTACAGGGAACGATTGAAATAAACTGAGAGACTACGAGACTACTCGTACAACTAAAAAGAAAATATGTTCAGAGATACAGCACTCCACTGAATTATGTTACGTAGGAAGTGTGAGCGATGAACACTTCTTTCCAAGCCGTGCGGGAGGGCCTGCTCGCTAAAAGCGAGCTGAGATCCCAGGTGTCAAGGGCTCCGAGATTTTCCAGGATCGTGATGCGTAGAAATTCCACTCGACTCTTGTCAAAGTGCAGAAGGAGCCACTATCCACGAAATCTGTTGTGATATTGCTCCAGCCCAGTCTGCAGGCTGTACTGCGGCGACTTGTTGTCGTTTAGGATAGAAGTGAAAGTTTAGTAGTGCTATTCTTTGTGCAGCCTGGCTCAGTACACATCCTTTTCCAGGAAATTTCCGATGCGAAACATAGCTAGCTTGGTGTGGCCCAACCATGTCTAGCACGCTATGTTCTGAAGGTGCTCAGATGTCATGAATCTACTACTACTACTACTAGGACATGTGGAGCGTTCGTATAAACTGCACTGAACACGGCTGTCCCATGCACCCGTCGACGCATTTGACGTGTTCAATCTCGTCGTTATTAGCATGCATGGTGTTGGCGTTTTGACTAGGGCTCAAACAGTTAGTCCGATTAACCGGTTGCAGACCGGTTACGAAGAATTAGCGGTTAACCGATAAAGATAAAGGTTACGCAGTAACTTTTCAGTAGGGCTCAAACAGTTAGTCCGATTAACCGGTTGCAGACCGGTTACGAAGAATTAGCGGTTAACCGATAAAGATAAAGGTTACGCAGTAACTTTTCAGTCAAATTTTCAAGTATCAGGTCGTTGCAAAGTATTCACTTTCGCAGGCTGTCGCACGCGTACGCAATTTCTGGGCTGTCAACTCGGTCATATCTGGTCTCTTGGTGTAAGAGTATGTATGAATGAGCATGCAAGAAAATGTACATGTGTGCGTTGCACTGAATAGGGTACAGGTTTTGAATGAGTATAGTCAAATATACGGTTAAAAAAGAGTCCGCAGGATTGCCGTGGCTTATAGGTTATAACCGTTAAACCGACCGTTAGCTTAGCAGTTAACCGTTAGGGGTAAAACCGTGACCGTTTGAGCCCTAGGACTCATCTGGCAGTGTTGCCAACCGCCCGTATTTGTCCGTATTTTTACGGAAAAACGAAGTTTTGTCCGCAGTACGGATTTCAATCAAATATCCCGCAAACGATCATGTGTATGATCGATTACTAAAACCATCGTAACTCCATCGTTTCTTGTGCAAATTCAACAATCCAAGAGTCTACGTGGTAGAAGAAACACCAAGCTGTCCAATGTAACAATCGCTGAAGTGTTACGATGTCGGACTCCAGAGATATCGCGCGCCGTATTCAGGTATTCTTATTAAAACAAATTTTTCGATCGAACTCTTCGCCATTTTGGGGAAATCTTGCCCTTTTTTGTGTGCTCTTTGAGCGACTGAGCACTTTATAATGATATGGCCGGCGGAAGTTTGAATCGCCTGGAAAAAATTTGAGCGTTCTGCGATGCATGCAGGAGTGTAGAATGGTGTTGATGGGACGATGTGCTTGCATACTAGGCTTGGAGACGACTTTGCTGTGTTACCGCGCCTGATTTGTGGCGGCTTCATAATGGAGCTTGGCATCCTGGCGTTGCTCCTGCCTAGAGCTTTCCAAAGAGCCCTAGATTATGAAAATCAAGCGAAGTAGACCAATGTTATGACCTGGTGAAGTTGAAAATTGTACTGAATTCGTGCGTAGGCTTCAAAAGTGAACTAATAATAATAATAATAATAATAATGACAGTTCGCATTTCACTCATTGCATGAGGTCAACGCATCTGTTAACAATTTCGAGCCAAGCAGCTCTATCAGAAGCAGATTGCACAGCATCCAGAAGCGACAGATTAATGCATTGTAAGTCTTTCTTGACAACGTCGATCCATCTCAGACGTGGTCGTCCTCGGGGTCGTCGTATGTCTGTTGTGAACTAAAAAAAGTGAACTAGATCAGTCAAAATGTTGACTTTAAAAAACGAGTACGGAAAACTCGGAAAAATTATGCAAAATGGCACTGGGCAATACGCATGGGGGTAGAGGGCACTTGGTAACACTGATCTGGACTTCACGAAATCATCAGTACAGTCACTACACGACATGTCGAGTGTTCTGACATGACGTGCGGACTGCGGAGTAGTACAGCGCGCTCCCCGTGACTGTGACTGAGTCGAGATTGAAAACAACACGACAGTCGACACTGTTCACTGTTTAGTGTTTGCAGCTGCACTACTGACTCTAGCTCTGTTGTCGACTCGAAGCCCAGAAATTGAAAGAATTGTTTCTCAGTGGTCTAGTGAAGAACGTGTTCTTACGGATAGATCCAGTGCTGTGGGCTCGTTAGCTGAAAGGAATATTCAACACGTTTGGAGATGGCGTTTCTTGCGTTTGGCTCGTCCACCTCTGCGCTCCAGGTGTTGTCGGTGATTTTTGTTGCGATGCTGATAGTTTTCATTCCCAACGCCCGCGCAGCCAGCATCCCTGTCGTCGCGCACGGAAACGGTAAGAAGTCATTCATTCCGTAGGTAATGAAAATTTTTAGCCGGGCGTGTACTCCTCCTCTGCATTTACATTGTACTCGTTGAAAAAAATGTTCAAGAAAAACGCATTACAGGATCATAATCGGAACCACAATGCTCCTATCAGACCAGGGAGCTTGTTACTAGTAGTACTTGGTAGACATGTTGCACAGGCCTGATGGCTATACTTGCACTACGGTCTGAAGGTGCTGCAGAAACAGTACACCAGTACTGCATTACTGGGGTGACGAACCCTGGATGTGCTGACGGTGCTCAATACCACGGAGGTAAAGCATAATTTGTAATTGTGTGTTACACAGTACACGGAAGGCACAAAACTAGTTCGTTGCAATTCTAAATTTGATGCTATGCAATCACCAGGAAACATAAGACATGATGCTGTTCGGGGGGGGGGGGGGGGGGGCGGGGAGGGGGGGGGGGGGTGGATAACACTGGCGTGGCCAACACTGCACTTGCATTTTTCTAGGGCTGAACTCCCCTCTTCTATTCAAAGAGAAAGAGATTCACCTTGTTATTAACTTATTATCCAGTAAGTTGGTTAGCCATGATGAGTGGGTATGCGCTTAGGGCCACCTGGCCTGCCATAGTGCAACACCACAGCAGTCAGTCCTGTCCTGGATTGACGCACTGCAGACGATTTGAGGCGTTGACCATTGACACAGAACATGCAGCATACGACATTATCAGTACAGTGGTCCCTCTATAATCCGGCACCATTTGTGCCACGAAAATCTGCTGGATTAGGGAGGGTGCTGGATTAACAAATCTGATTTACTGCTGCAATGTGCATGAAGAGGACATTTTGGCTACTGAAAATTGTGCTGGTTTATCGAGGGTGCTGGATTTTAAAGTGCCAGATTAGAGAGGGACGACTGTATAATTATCGGATACAGGGGACTGTCCCTATCTGCAAACAAATGGCATCCATAATCTGGATCCAATCTGACTAGGGTGTCAATGTTTACTTCGCAAATGATTGCTCGTATGATGTCATCATTTTCATGTTATCTGGTGTTCTGGTTGCCATAGATACCTGTATGACAAGATGGCTGACTGCCGCTACAGCAGGCAGTGGTGTATCGAGTGCAGACGTGCAGCGACTTGAGAAGGTGATGAAGCAGCTCAGAATAGCTGTTGATGAGGACACTATTCACGATACTGACCCGGAACTCCTGGCAGCAGTTCTCGGTGGAAATGAGCAGGCTGTGAATTTCCTCTATCGCTGCATAGGTAAGTTTTCTGAGTTGATGATTCTGCCATGTTCTGTCTAACAGAGCATATTGGATATTTGCTGGATTGCAATTACAAGAACTCAGTACATACGGTGTACTTACTCTGCACATTTCTACACAACATTCACCTAGAATAATCTTACTGACTTTTGAAAACACAATTGGGACCAAAGTAATGCTCAAGACCTCACTCAAATTTTAAAATTTTTGTGTTGGATC